CACATGTATATATATATATATATATATATATATATATATATATATATATATATATAAACAGTGAGACTTGACAGTTACCAAACTAAAAGCTAGGCTATTTTTTATTATAAAGAACAAAGAATGATGATATTTTGATGGTGTGTGTTAATATCTTAGTCTTATAAAGACAAATACTACTCTGACAGATTTTCAGAAACTCAGAGTGGATGATATGTGCAATCTACACTCATGCAACATGAAAGCAGAAATTGTTTTCCGTGATCTTTCATCTGTGCATTTGATGTCTTATCACATGAACATGCATTTTAATGTTGTTTTCTATGAAAGTGCAGCCTGTGTGATGGGGTCTATCATCCAAATCTCTTTTATGCTTTGACCAAAATTGATTTAAGCCAAGAAGAGCCATCCATGATTACACTGCAAGTACAGACAACATGATAAACCAGAAGTGGCCATAGCAGAGAGCTGATTTCTACTTGTTATATGATATATTTTTTGCAGAGGGAGTTGCTTTAAGTGTGTGGGCCATGTTAAGCCATGTTACTGTATATACTGTAGATATAGATAGATGTGTGTGTGTGTGTATATATACAGTATATATATATATATATATATATATATATATATATATAGTAATCTCCACTAATATTTGCACCCTTGGTAAATATGAGCAAAGGTGGCTGTAAAACAAACAAACAAACAAAAAAAAAAAATCTGAGAGAGCCAGCACAGCCAGCAGGCATTGATCAGAATCAGAATCAGTTTTATTTGCCAAGTGTGCGCAAACACACAAGGAATTTCTTGTGGTTTTTAAGAAGCTCTTGGTACATGCATGCATACATACATATATACATACATATCTGACATGAGAACAGAAACATTTATATAAGACTTATTTATATAAAACAATAAATAATAATATGTATGAATCTGGAACAGAAGATTTATGTACAGATTTGTGCATTATTTACTCTATATATACAGCTGTATAAAAATATGCATATGTATTTATATAGTACTTGAGAGAGAGGCAATAATTAGAGATGGGGAATGAATTACAGAACACAGGTAATAATTCCCGTGTTAGCTGTTTAGGCTGGAGATGGCATGGGGGGAAAAAACAGTTTTTATGCCTAGATGTTCTAGTGCACAGAGATCTGTAGCATCTGCCTGAGGGGAGAAGTGCAGACAGGTTGTGTCCGGGGTGAGAGGGGTCTTTGATGATGTTACCTGCCCGCTTCTTCACTCTGGAATTGTACAAGTCCTGAAGATTGGGCAGGTGGACACCAATGATCCTTTTTCTGCTGTCCTAACAGTCCGCTGCAGTCTTCTTATATCTGATTTGCTGGCTGACCCAAACCAGACAGTTATAGAAGAGCACAGAACCGACTCAATAACAGCTGAGTAAAACTGTGTTATCTGCGCCTGTGGCAGGTTGAACTTTTTCAGTTGACGAAGGAAGTACAACCTCTGCTGAGCCTTTTTCACGTTGGAGTCAATGTGAGTGTCCCACTTCAGGTCCTGTGAGTTGGTGATTCCCAGGAATCTGAATGACTCCACTGCAGTCACAGTGCTGTTCATGATGGTGAGTGGGGGTAGAGCAGGGGGGTTTCTCCTGAAGTCTACTATCATCTCTACAGTTTTGAGCGTGTTCAGCTCCAGGTTGTTGTGCCTGCATCAGACAGCCAGCTGCTCATCCTCTTTCTGTAAGCAGACTCGTCGCTGTCCTGGATGAGGCCGATGACTGAAGTGTCTTCTGCAAACTTCAGGAGTTTGACAGAGGGGTCTTTAGAGGTGAGGTCATTTGTTTAGAGGGAGAATAGCAGTGGGGAGAGAACGCAGCCCTGAGGAGCTCCGTTGCTGATGGTGCAGATGTTGGATGTGAGTTTTCCCATCCTCACTAGCTGCTGCCTGTCTGTCAGGAAGCTGGTGATCAGAATAATCAGAATCAGAATCAGAATGAGCTTTATTGCCAGGTATGTTTACACATACGAGGAATTTGTTTTCGTGACAGAAGCTTCCACAGTGTAACAGAATGACAGTGACAGAACAAAAAAAACACAGATAATAAAAAATAAAAAATAGAACAAGTAAATAAGGAATAAAAATATATAAATCGACAATTGTAGACATATTCAATAATGGCGGAGTAGAACTGTTTCAGCAGCTCCTGTGACAGTTTGAACTTCCTCAGCTGGCGAAGGAAGTACAAACTCTTCTTGGCCTTTTTCACAATGGAGTCAATGTGAGTGTCCCACTTCAGGTCCTGAGAGATTGTGGTGCCCAGGAACCTGAATGACTCCACTGCAGTCACAGTGCTGTCCATGATGGTGAGTGGGGGGAGTGCAGGGAGGTTTCTCCTGAAGTCCACGGTCATCTCCACAGTTTTGAGCGTGTTGAGCTCCAAGTTGTTGAGAATGCACCAGGCAGCCAGCTGCTCGTCCTCCTGTCTGTAAGCAGACTTGTTAATGTCCTGAATGAGGCTGATGAGTGTGGTGTCGTCTGCAAACTTCAGGAGCTTGACAGAGGGGTCTTTAGATGTGCAGTCGTTGGTGTAGAGGGAGAAGAGCAGTGGGGAGAGAACACAACCCTGAAGAGCTCCAGTGCTGATTGTACGGGTGTTGGATGTGTATTTTCCCAGCCTCACTAGCTGCAGCCTGTCTGTCAGGAAGCTGTTGATCCACTGACAGACGGAGGTGGGCACGGAGAGCTGAGTTAGTTTGGGCAGGAGGAGGTTTGGGATGATAGTGTTAAAGGCCGAGCTGAAGTCAACGAACAGGATCCTCCCATAAGACCCTGGTCTGTCTAGATGTTGTAGAACATAATGCAGTCCCATGTTTACTGCATCGTCCACAGACCGGTTTGCTCTGTAGGCAAACTGAAGAGGATCCAGCAAGGGTCCAGTGATGTCCTTCAGGTGGGCCAGCACCAGTTTTTCAAATCCACTGACAGATGGATATGGGTACAGATAGCTGGGTCAGTTTATTCTGAAGGGTGTCCGGGATGATGGTGTTGAAAGCGGAGCTGAAGTCCACAAACAAGATCCTTGCATAAGTCGCTCCAGGGATCTGTTGAAGATCAATGTGAAGATGGATGATAGCTGGACAGCACAGGCTTTGAGGCAGGCTGCAGAGCCTCCATCTGGGCCTTTGGCTTTCCTTATCTTCTGTCTCCTGAAGACTTTGCTTACATCATCTTCACAGATCTTGAGTACAGGTTGAGAAACAGTAGGGGGGAGGGAGGGGGAGGGTGTTGGCTGTGCTGTGAGATGGTCGGAGTAGGTGTGGGGTGTCAGACCAGGCTTTTGCCTGCAGTAAAACTCGTTCAGGTCTTCAGCCAGTTGTTGATTGGCCTCAGTGCTGGGGGATGGGGTCTTGTAGCTGGTGATGGCTTTCAGGCCTTTCCACACTGATGTAGGGTCGTTGCTTGAAAGCTGTTCCTCTTCAGGACCTCGAGCTGCGTCGGAGGATGCTTCGGGAACGCCTTTCAGCGTGACCGGCTCTGAACCTCATGTGTAATCAGTCCAATAGATGGGCGAGACATCACGGGCGGGTGACGTAATGACCAGGAAGCTATAAAAGTATGTGCGGTGAAACCAGCGTCAGCTTTTTGTCATTCAGCAAGCGCTCTGTTTGTGAGTCTTATTTAGTGTTGTCTGTCACGAAATCTCAA